GAAAATCAAGAAGAGCAAGTTTACTGGGGAGAGTACAAATAGCTTTTCTCTTTTCCAGGGTAATGACTTGTAGATAGATATGCAGTGCATCAACATGAGATTCATCTTTTTGTCACCTCAAAATGAGGTTCCTGTGGCATGCTGTCCAGGAGGCACCTGCAGGCTGCTCAGGATGCTGGTGTAGGAGATTGCAGCCTGGTTTTGTTTGCAGGATTGCATGATGGAAGCAGAGCAGCCTGTTGCTCCCAGCCTGTGCTGACTTCCAATAAGTTTCAGATGCTTACAGTGGACTTGCAGGTCGTGTCTCTAACCTGTGAGGTTTCCAGAAAGGTTTGGGATCTAGTGACCTTCTCGTGCTGGGAATATTTCTACAGCTGAGACCGGAGCAAGGCTAGGTGGAAACTTAGGTTAAAAGGAGGTGCTTGTAAAGCATGAAACATCTTCTCATAAATAAGCCCCCCCCCACCAAGGGTAAAATCCCTGTAGGTATTTAAAAGATGTGCAGATGTGGCACTTAAGGACATGGTTTAGTAGTGGACTTGCCAGTGATGGGTTAACAGTTGGACTTGATGATCTTAAAGTTTGAGTAGATTTTTTTTTTCCACCGTTCAGTGCAATTATGATCATTTTTCATCAAAAGGAAAGAAGCAGAAGCAGGAATAATTCACATCAGTGCATTATCAATTCTTTGAACATCAATGAATTTGAAACAAAATAAAAAATGCTAAAAAGAAGATAACTATTTGAACTATAGAGACGGTAATTTCTAGGTAATTTCTTGACTTCTGTGAGCAAATTTCTTCCAGATTAGGAAATTCAGGATTATTTTAATTTTGATAAAAATAGAATATCCATTCAACAGACAATAAAAGCTGTTTAAACCTGTTAAATACTATGAAATAGATGTGTACAGCTAATTAATGTATGTGTTGAATAGTAATTATGTCATCCTGAGGGATTTACAAATAGAGTCTAGTTAAAATTTGATTCAATCTTCTATCATTCACAGAAGGTGCAAATTATTATTCATTTAGTGCTCTCTGATTTCAGTTCTAAAGGTAATCCAGAAAAAAGGGAGAGGGATTTCTGTTTTATCAGCATTGTTTAAGAACTAAGATCCCTTAATTATCACACTGTACCAATAGCCTGCTACCCAACTTACTGAAGCAGTCATTCAGGTTCGAAACTAACAATTTACCCTCCAAGCAAAGAAAGATAGAAGAAAAAGTGTTTAGTCAGCAAGCAAATATACCAAATTGTATGTTTTGGGTTTTGTTTGCGCTCATGTTTCTGAGCTGCGCAAATGAGAGTCACTTACACAATGACTTTCAATCAAAGACATCAAAGCAAAGGAGAGAGATTTCACAAAAAAAAAAAAAAAAAAAAAAAAAAACAAAGGTGAAATAAGGCTCCATGGGATCCAGTTCTGTCAAGAACTTCTGGAACCTCTTTCCCTGCTCTTTCTTATTAAGTAACATTGGTAGACTCTTGGCCTTGCTCCTTTGTGTAATTTCTCATCATGGTAACAACAAATTAGGTAAGATTCAAAATCACCTTGTGAGAGTATTATAGATTCTTTTACAAGGATGTTGCTTTTAATGACCTTAAAAGAAAACCTTTTCTTTCTGTCTGGTTTTGTCACAGTAATTGTCAGTCTCTGTAGTTACCAGTAAAACTTGCCTAAAATGAAAAAAAAAAAAAAAGAATAAGCCCCCCCAAAAAATTGTTTAATAAAACATTTTTATGTCTAGAAATGAAAACTGTATCTTTCAAGGAAAATGTGAATTTCCTAAGAAGCCAGAACAGTCCAGGAGCTACAGTAGTAATGGTAGTATGGTAGAAACAGGTTCTGCCTTATTCCAGCCTCTCTAGCTGCTGGGACTTCTATCTGTCGGAGCTGTCATGGGAATTTTGTCAAAATGGAGATATTTTTGTGATAATCTTATTTTTTGTTGTACTTTGGTTTTTTTTCTAAGTAGGAAAAACTTTTCCCCAAAAATTTTCTCACTCAGCTTGTTTCTTCCATTAAGGAAAAAAAATTACAAATCAGACAATGGTCATGTTACCAAATATACAAGACATTACTCCATTTTTTCTGCAAAATAAGTACATGTAATCCATGTGGATATGTTGGCAGTAATTGTTTGGGCTTCTTGGAATGTAACTTCTATGTACTTAGACTGGGTATATATGTTGTTTGATTTTATTGCAGAAAGGTAAATGTTCTGCACCATTTTTTTTACAATACTATTTCCTATTGATATCAGTGGGACCAATTGTGTATATTAAAATTCTTGTGTATCCTGCCCTGCTTAATGCCAGCCAGTACTCAGGAGCAGCCACCGCTAAGAGGGAGCGCAGCAGCTGCCCAGCAGCTCTCACAAATGGTGTGTGCAATTCTTTAAGTTGAGCTTAAGCAAAGGTGCTGGGGTTCTTTGGAAAAATTATCCAGAAGTAAAACCTAATTTGCTCTGTTCTGATTTTCTCTTTCTAACTGAAGTGGCATCTTGGTAAGGTGAATGGAAGAACCTACGTTATCTTTGGTTGGTTGGGTTGGGTTTTTCAGAGAGAGGCAAATGGGCTTGACATAACTGGTTTTCTCTGCACATGCCATCATATTTAATCTTTCGACACAGCTGCTTGCTTACAGTACAGTTTGGAGTACTAGCTACTAAAACACCTGTAGTCCTAGTTGTTGCTTGGAATCTGGCAGAAAACTGCCATATTTATGTCTTTCTTTGTTTCTCATGCAGACTATTAGACTGCTCTATAGGGATGGGTGATATTGTAATAGAAGTGGAAAGTGTTCCCAGTTCTTAGCAGGATAAGAAAATGTTGTTTCTTATCTGTGATTTGAAAAGAGATGAAGGGTCAGTGAGGTAGAGATACATGAAAGCTATTGTGCACTTGGTAGGGCCTGCAGAGGAGGAATATCTCTCACCGGCAGCTTCTTTGAGTGGAAGGGAAGAGAAAGAAGCAGCTTCTAAGTGAAGGGAGAGGATTTGGAATAATGTCAAGTAAAATCAGAGAAATGTGTTGGTTTATTTACTTAAAGAAACAGGTACACAGCTTGGAGATTGTTCCTGAAGAGAGCAAGTCGAGTTCAGAACAGCTTTAAATGCTTGCCTGCTGTTGATTCTTTGGGATTTATAAAATTTCATAGGCCTCTTCAGTCTTTAGCGGTAGCTGAGAGAAGCAAGGAGAATGTGATGGGCTCTTAGACGCCTTTGATTTTGAGTGATTGCATGGAAATATAGGGCAGTCTGGTAGATCCCACATGTAACTTAGCTGGGGCTTGCCTTGTCTTCCCACCTGCCTCAGCATAGCTGCATCGGAGGAGGAAGTGGCAGTTGTGCTGGAAGTGGTATGGGGAAGGTTTTAGGCTATGTCTGTCCCCAGCCAAGAGTTAGCTGCTTGGAAGCTGATTTTCTTTATAGCAGGAACTATAAAATGGTCAAAATTTGATTTCAAGACACAGCATGCATGTGCCAGACTTGGTGTTAGGGGCTGATTAGGTCTGCAGCCGCTTGAATAAGTTCTTCTCCCCACCATCCTCAGCAGATTTGCAGCTGGTTTTCACCTGATGTAAAGTACAGGAGCTGCTGGTAACCTGGTCTGTGCTGACATTTGGGGTGGGAGTGGAGCAGGTACCCCAATACCTATCTGTCTCTGCCTTCTTCTGCAGAAAGCAGAATAGAGCTGTCTTGGGTGTGGGTTTTTTTGTATTACAGTAGCAGTGGATGTTGTATTATATGTTGTATATGTATTCTAACAGCAACTATTTTTGCTTGACACATCAGTGCCTTGCATTCATTTGCACACCAGTCTCCAGTCCGCAAGAGGCGCATGTCCTATGCTGAATAACAACATCTCATGGGCTTGAGGACCAGGGCTATGAAATTAGGCCCATGCTAACTGTCGGAGAAAATCTCTTTTTTGTTCAGTAGTAATTAGAATACATTGGAAACATATGGCCAGTCTTTCCTATGTTAGACTGAAGGACACAACCTTAACTAGCTTTAAACATGAAAGTTGAAATTCTTCCGTGTTCAGCTGATGCAAGAAGTTGAAGCTTCATGTAAACCAGTATTTCAGTATGCTGGTGCAGCCTGAGGGGAGTCTATTTGGATTTTATGGAACTAAGCTGTTTACTTGCCTTAAAGAAATAACATGAATGAATGCCAGCACCAGATCGTCGTTTTCCAAAAAGGTGCTCAAGATTGTTCGCCAGTGAAGATTTTTAAAATGGAGTCAAGGACTGTCTTTGACTGTATTCAAAGGCTACCCTCGTTTATATATACATACATGAATTATTGTTTCATATCACAGGATAATAATAACTTTGGGTTAAGAATTTATTATAAAGAAGGATTTATCCAAGAGGGTCATGGGACAAGGAGATGAAGAACTGTTCCACAGCACTTGTAGTAGGAATAACAGGGAAGGACAAACTTGAAACTTGTCCTCTCATTTCTTCTTACTGGATGTGCACATAGGTTGCCTTCTTTTACACACTAGTAAGTGGGATAAAGTTTTGGAGCTGTTGATTTAAAGCTTAGGTCTTACTTGTGCACTGAAGAGTGAAATTAGCTACAATAACTGTAATGCACATAAAAACATTTGTTGCTGAGCTTCTAATAGTAACAGATTTCAAAAATTATGCTTATATTTTGGAGCTGGTGGAATATTTGAAAGATTTACTTATAACAGAATTTGCATTCCATATAATTTGGGTTTAATGACTTGGTGTAACACAGGCAAAAGAGTTTCTGAGTATGTGACTCTCCTTTTCCATGGCACAGTAGGTACTTCATCTTAATTTTTGGTTGCATGCTAAGAAATCAATATGTAAAGCAAAAGTGAACAGACACTTAAAAGGAAAGCATCAGAGAAGTTGAATAGTCATTTACTGGGTTAGTATTTAGAGCTGGCATATATTTCTGAGTGGGAAAGGGCTTCAGAACAGGGCAATTCACAAACCACTTATTCCCCTTCAACAGCTAATTCAGAGACAGCAGGTGTGTAAGCAGCCCCTTGGCAAGAGGACCAAGTGTAGTTTGTGACAGAATTGAGTGGAGATGATCGCAGGATCTTCTTTTGAGTTCACCGAGTGACCTGCAGTTTTATTCCAGCACCTAACACAGGTAAGAGGTTTCTACAGAATCTGCATTTCTCAAGGTGTTTTAATATGTGACTCCTAACCTTTATTCATAGGTGCCTTGATGTTTTGATGCAGTACCAGGTATCAGTACCAGGGTTTTGGTAGTTTTATCAGGCTTTAAGGTATCTCCTTTGGCAAAATTATGTTAGAGAGCCATGGAGCATTTGTCAGCAATAATACAGTAATTAATGCATATACAGAATATGTTTGGGGCCAGAATTTGAGACTAAAAGGGGACTGATAATTAAATCTCTGTATCTCATTTCGTATTATTCAGGAGAAATTTGTTTGAGTTAAGCAAAAGGTCTACATCAAGGCGTGAAGTGCTGCTGGCTGTTGGTACTTTATTGGAACTGATTCCTGAAGAAAGTAAATTTGTTCCTGAACTGTACTGCTGTTACAGAATACCTATTAAACAACCAACCACAAAAAAACACCAAAAAGACCCCAACCAACCAAACAAAAACCAAAACCACACAACCCTGAAAAATTCCAACATGCCTGTTGAAATGTTGTGGATCACAGTAGGGATCTGGCTGACAGAGGGACTACCTGCACCATCCAGGCTGGTGCAGCTGCAGCCAGGTATGTGGCAAACTGTCTTTAACAGGCTGATGGACAGAGCCTCTCAAGAAGTCAGTGAAGGCGAGAATGAACTTTGTGTTGCAGGTCCCCACCCTGAAGCTTCTTCCTAGCTTCTTTTCAGTTGCTGTAGACTTTTATACTTGTTTTCGGGCATGAGGTGCCCGGTTTCTAGGCAGACATGGGACTTCCTATTTTTCTTTATGTAGGATGGACTGTGTAAAATGCCCTGCCATGCGAGTTACTTGAGAAGTCATGTTCAGTGGGAGCAGGAGACATGATCCGATTCTGCTTGCTGGAGGAACAATGTATTTTAGATCATGAAAACTGAGGGCTGCTTTACTCCATCATCATTTCATTGGGGGTGAACAGCAAGAAAAAAATGCAATTCTATTCTCTGTGGCTTAATTTCAGCCAGAGATAGGTCTTCAGGGCAGTAATATTCTTCTTCCTCAGCTAACATACCCACAGGACCTCTGTATTATGATGTAGTCAGTGCACTGAATATGTGCAAAGCATCCTATTCTACCCACCTCCCACCCCACCGGTGCTGTTTCTTTTAAGTGACTGCATGATGCCAAAGCACAGCAGTATGTGGCTTCTGTTGTCAGAGAAGACCCCCTCTTAAAATAAGGAGCTGTCTTTGCAGCTGCATGGGCAGCGAAAGCCAGGGTGCTTCCACAGGGCAGCAGCCACAAAAGCCGCTTTCTGGCAGAATAGTGTCCTTATTCCTTAATTATTAGCCCTAATGAAGGGGTTTTGTCATTTTATTTTATTTTTTTTTTTAAGGGAAAAGAAAAAAGAAACTGAGAAAGAAAAGCAAATGAGAAAAGAAACAGCCAAGAAGGAGAAAAGATTGAGAATAGTTGGGATTATCTCTGTGCTGTCTCTCAGGTCCAGTGACAACACGACTACAATGGGTAGCTTTCAGGACTGCATATGGTCTTCCTTCCGAGGGAGTTGATTAAGCGACTCCGGATGAAATTGAAATCCTGTGATTTGACCTTTGTCTGGCCTGGGAGGACTGCAATTCGCATAACAATTTCCTTTTGTTCTTTGTTTGGAGTTATTAATCCAACATGAGCCTCGAATTAATCAGGGGTAGTGCGTTGTTACATTTCTAATTCACAGCTCCACTGCTTGTGTCTTTTTTAATTAAGGCCGAATGATAGCAGGCCTTAGCCCCTGATTGCAACACTTACTAACCACACATTGAGGGATGAAGAGGCTAAATAGGCAGAATGAGATTACTTCAAGGTTTCACTTAATTGTTTTCTTCCTTTAAGTAAAGAGCACTGAATGAACATTGTTAATGCCAGGCTGGGAGTATTTCTTTTATATATGTGTTATGTGCGTGTGTGTAAGTGTGCGCGCAGGGGTGGGGGAGGTTGTGAAGGGTGCACCGAGGACTCAGAGCTCTAATGGCTCAAGGGTTTGTAAAATTGAAGCCTTTGGTTATTGATTTAAACCATTCCTCCCACCTCCCCTGGGGGGCAGGGGCAAGGATAGAGGAAGGGGGAAAAGACTTGAAGAACGTTAAACTTATGCTAGCTGCATGGATTTTCTTGTATCCTGTGTGAACATATTTGTTTATGTAGTTTTTCTTGCTGTTTGCTAGTGCATCAAAGGTAGAAAATGCAGGAAGATTGAAAGCTATCAGAGATGCCAAAGAAATGTGTTGAAAGACATAAAGCTCTCCAAAGCCTGGTACTAGTAATAATGATAATAAAATAAAGGCAAGCCAGTTGTGTCACTTACCAGATTTTGCTCATGCTGAAGGATGTTTGAGTCATGTTTCAAAAGCTGTTTGTAAGTTTGTATTATCAGAGCAGTTAGGGGCCACAAAGGCACAGGTGCTATTACAGAGGAACAGTGTAGATGATCTCAGTTAGATTCGTGCTGGATAACTCAGAGCGGGCCAAGCAGGATGCTGGAACGGAAAATGCACTGAGCACCCAATCTTTCAACATTTATATGCCCAAATAGTTCCATTAGCTTGGAAAGAAAAAACAAAAACAAAAAACAACCAAAAATGAACAACCCAGGACTCATATTGCAGGATCAGGCCCAGTATTTTGGTCTCCTACAGTGCAGTACATTGGATATTATTGTTAAGGAGAAAGGTTAATATTTATGGTTCCAAACCTGCTGAATATACAGAAATCCCACTGAATTCAATTTGTGCTGTGTGTCTGCAATATCAGATAAAGCTCTGTAATTGTGGGAACTAACTTTTCCTGAGTTATTTTATCTATCCAAGGAGCTGGATGGATAGGGAAAGCACTTGCTTGGAAGCGTTAATGTTTCTGTGTAAAATGGTGTTAATCGTACCAGGCTGTACAGATACCAAGCTGCAGTTCTGACTCTAGTGTAGGATATACAGGGCAGCAAGGCTGTTCCTGCTTTTCTGAATTCCCAGTGTGAGGTGGCTGTTCCATGCAGGATTATTTAAGAATGCAAAGACAAAACCTCTAGATAGATTAAGCGAAAATAGGGTCCAAAGGAGAAAACTCTGAAGGAGAAAAATGCTTCAGGTAAATGTTTATTTCTATGTTTAGAAATCTAAATTGTGAACAGAGTCTGCTTTTTAGATGCTTTTAGACTTTAGATATGGACTGAAAAGAACGAGCAATGCATGCAGCCTTCCACAGAAATGTATATAGTATCTGGAAACAAAAACAAACTAACACACAAATCTTCAGGTCCGGCCTTCAGTTGATGCAAAGAAGCACCAGTGACTCCATTTCTTTCCATGATCAGTCATGTCAACACAGGATTTACACTGAATTGGGTTCACAGGTTCAAAGCCATTTTCTTGACTTCCCTGCTCTTTTCTTAGGTGCTGCCTGATCCTGTTTGTCAGGATACTTCTGATAGATTGCCAGCTCCCGTGCTGGGATAAGAAGATGCCCAGCATTTGTTGGAGTAGGCCTGCCTTACTGGCAGTTCAAGTACCTTAAACATAATTTTGTTTTGCAGAACCAGTTTTGATGCTCTTACACTGGATAACACCTTACTCTGCAAATACTCCTATTAAATCAAACTTTGCATGGAAAGAGTAGTATTAAGTATGAGTAAGCGCATCGGAATACGACCACCAATCACTCACTGTTGGGGATTTCTGTTTAAAGACTGAATCCTGCACATTTGTTCACCTTGTTCTCTTTTTCCTAGAAATCTCTGCAGGATGGGGTATGTTTGTTTATAGCAGACGCAGTTCCAGAATTAAAACCTATTTTCAGTGCCATTCTGTGTCTTAAATATGTATGCTTTTTATTTTTAATTATTGTCTGAAGGTTTACTGTCATTGATTTAAAGGTATCACATTATACTTCCAAAGGGTCTCAGGATGGATTGGCACCCCCATGTGTTTCTTGTGTGAGTGTATTGAATAACATCTTAAAACCCAAAATCCAGTCTGCTCTGTCTCCTGTTTAAAAATCTCATGGCAGTGGTCATTAGAATGGGTATGTTTGGAGTACTTCTAAAATCTGCTTTTTTTCCTTATTTTTGTATAGCGTAATGTTCATCATTAATGTATTCAGTAGCTCTCTTCAGCAAACTTAGAATGCCATTTAAGTGCCTTGAGATCCTTAAAGATGAAAGAAGCTGTATAAACAGATGGCAGCAGTATTATAATGCTTCTTTGGCTGGTTAACTCTCTATGTAAGCTATCTTGCTGGACCTTGTTGTACAGCTAGAGCCAGGTACCCTGTCAGTAGTTTTAAGCAGTTGGCTTGCTCTCTGTATAACATAACATTTCTGATTCCTTTCAATTACTCTGCAAAGGAAGTTAGGCTTCTTGCCATACTCAGCAACCAAAAGACCAGGTCAGGGTTCATGATAATGCTTTCCTGGCCTTGCCCAAAGTGGCTGTAGTTGCACTTATTTAAGGGATGAACCACTGATCAGTAGTTGTTGAACATTTGCAGCTGCAGCAGTCAACAGTGATGAGTCCACAAATAAATAAGGAATAACTGTTGTTGCTGCTGCTGTTATTCCTGACAGTTTTAAACAATCTGTTGCTATTTATGAAATATTTCTGTTGAGATCAAAACTGCCCTGAACTTTCCTCTGCTCTCCACTCCAGCAGGGATGTGCTCCTCATGTCTGCAATGACAAGTCATCCTTGTGCTGCTAAATGCCCAATTTCAGCAGCGGCAGTGCCACTCCTCCACCGCGCATGGAGGTGCTGACGCTCCTCCTTGAAATCAGTGGCATGTTGGCCCTGGTCTGTTATATTTCTCTCCTCTCCCCTTTTGGACATAAGGTAGAGATTACGATTAATGGTCCTTTGAGTTGCTCAGTGCTCCTCCCTCTGTGCTGTCTCCCTGTGATCCCCCTTCCCGCACCCTCCCTCTCCCCCCCGTCAATGGGAGCCTTTGATGTTGCACAAGAGAC